TTCAACATGAAATGAGTGTAAGGCTTCCAATCAGTCTCAGGCATTCCAAGGAAAGTCATGATCTCAACCAAATATGCCTTAGAGGTCGTGTGCAAAAGTGCATCATTCTCATAATCTATGTGAGGTGAGAGTTGTTTCAATTCTAAGTCAAGTGGTGATACTATAGATGGGGTGAAGTCTTTCTGCTCACCATTTTCCAACAGCTCAGATGCTACATCATTCACTGGGACAACATCATTTCCTATTTCCTCAACATCTTCTTATATTTCCTCATCACACTCTTCTTCTAACTTAAGGTTCTTCTGAATTCCTTCTTCAAAGCACATCTCTTCTATCTCAGATATTTTTGAACACTCTTTCAAGTAATTAGGGTACTTTAGAGAGTTGAAGACATTAAATGTGACTTTTTGGTCCTGAAGTCTCATAGTCAACTCTCCTTTCTGGACATCTATCAAAGTTCTTCCGGTGGCTAGGAATGGTCTCAATAAATGATAGGAATGTCCTTATCAGCCTCAAAGTCTAGAATGATAAAGTCTGCCGGAAATATGAACTTATCAACTTGGACCAACACATCCACAATCTTTCCCTTAGGGTATGCTATGGATTTGTTTGCCAATTGGAGTGTAACCGTGGTAGGTCTAGCTTCACCTATGCATAAGGTATTGAAAACGGATAAAGGCATGAGGTTGATACTAGCACCTAAGTCACACAAAGCTTTCCCAATCTCTTTTCCACCTATAGAACAAGGAATAGTGAAACTTCCCGGGTCTTTAAGTTTAGGAGGTATCTTGTTGGTCAGAAGTGCACTACATCCTTCAGTAAGAGCTACGGTTTCATACTCAGTCAGCTTCTTCTTCTTACTTAAGATGTCCTTGAGAAACTTAGCATAACTAGGCATTTGCTCGATTGCCTCAACAAGTGGTATGTTGATGTGCAATTCTTTGAACACATCCAAGAACTTCTTAAAATGCAGTTCCTCTTTTTGATTCCTCAACCTTTGGGGGTAAGGAACATAAGGAGGGACTGGTTTGATCACATTCTTGCTTGGATGAGTTGAGCAAGATGGGTCTTGAATGCCTTGGGTCTTTTTGGTGCACTTTGGAGGTTCAGATGGAATTTTAGCATCAAGTTTAGGGGTCTCCAAAATCTCAGTCTCTTTTGACTTTTTTAAAGCATCCTCAGGGAAGAGTAAAGGATAGTCTAATCTAGGGGGGACAGAAGTGGTGGTCTCAGATGCTTGCTTCTCTAAAGGTTGGACCGGTCTTTCTTTGGCAAGGACCAATGTTGTAGCATCAGTTTTTGACAAACTTGGTGCACTAGCTTTTTGCACCTTTTCAGTCAACTCCTTCCCACTCCTAAGGGTCACCGCTTTCACATGTTCCTTTCCTAAGGCTCTCGGGACTTCTGTGTTACTAGGTAAAGTACGAAAGACTCTATTGGTCTGATTGAGTGCAAGTTGACTGACTTGGGTTTCCAGATTTCTGATAGCCGCACTTTGCTGATTAAAAAGAGATAGATTTTGAGAGTTTTGTTGGGTTATCAAAGCTTGATTTTGAGCTTGAGCATGCGCAAATAACCCCTTTATCATTGCTTCCAAAGAAGATGATAAATCAGCCTGTGGAGGTGGCTTGTTTTGAAAAGGTGGTTGGGAATTCTGAAAACTTTGTTGGTGAGAGTTAGAACTGTTTCCATGATGTTGTGGTTGGAAATTAGAAGTTCCTTGTTGCTTAGGTGCGGGTGGATTTAAACATGGATTGTTCCAAGAAAAATTTGGGTGTTGTTTCCAACTTGCATTGTAATTGTTGGTATAGGGACCAGATCCATTATGAACAAAGTTTATGGATTCAGAATTATGAGGACAATGTTCATACGAGTGTTTCCCACCACAACACACACATTGCACAGAGAGGACTGTTGGAACAGGTGTATTAGCAGCTTGCTGCACTCCCTGACCAGAAGTTAGATTTTTTACCATGTTGGTCATGGAGGTGAGCTGAGCTGTTAATGCAGTATATGCATCTACATCATGTATCCCCGCAGTCTTTTTCTATGACTGAGCGCGTGGGTCGGCCCAATGTCCATTGTTTTCCAAAATCTTTTCTAGGATTTCATATCCTTCATTATAGGTCATAGCTGTAAAGGCTCCGCCCGCAGTCGCATCGAGCATTTGTTTTGCCATGGGATTTAACCCATTGTAAAACATCTCGAGTTGAATACAATATGGAATGCCATGGTGTGGGCATTTCCTCAACAACTCTTTGAACCTTTCCCACGCGTCAGGAACAGCCTCATCGTCCATTTGTTTGAAAAGACAAATCTCATTTCTGGACTTAGCGTTCCTCGTCGGTGGGAAATATTTTTGCAAAAAAAATTCCGCCATGTTACTCCATGACGGCACAGAACCCGGAGTTAACGAGTTAAACCACGCTTTTGCCCGATCCCTTAATAAAAATGGAAATAAAGTGAGTCTGAGAGCGTCATTTGACACTCCCGGGATCAGGAAGGCATCAATGATTTTCATAAAAGATTTTAAGTGCGAATGTGGGTCCTCCGAAGGTAATCCGACAAATTAGCCATTTGTTTGCAACATGTGAAACATTATCGGTTTTAGTTCGAAATGGAGAGTGGTCATATGTGATCTAACTATCCCGGAACTTAATTGTTCAAAATCCGGAATAGCATAATCCATGATCCTCCCATTTTTGGAATTTGCCAAATTAATAATGTTCGGAGTTTGTGCTCTTTGGTGCTTATTAGGTTCCGATTCTGTGTCCAAATTATTATCATTACCATTATGTGGATATCCTTGTTGAAAGTTCGGGAATGGTGGAATTGGTTCAAAACCCGGCGGTTGGTTTTTCAAATGCAGTATTTCCGGAATAATTGGGGGAGGTAACGCCTTATTTGAAGGGAGTAGAGCAAAAAATGCTCTTTGAGCCCTCCTCCGATGGTAAAACGTTCTCTCAATATCGGGATCAAATTAGAAAAATTCCCCGTGTTGTGACCGTGGCATACACCACTTTTAAAAACGGTTCCGATGGTACTAGAAAAATCAAATCTTTTAATTTACTCAAAATACAACTTTAGCGAAGCAATCCCCGACAATGGCGCCAAAAACTTGGTCGGTTATATTTTACACCTTTAGACTAATGAAATTAGGCCACAAAGCAAGTATAYAATACGGCCCAACGTCGTCTTTCCAAGTAATAAAGTGGTACAAGTACCGGATTATCGTCCACAGAGATTGTAGCCAAAGTTAGATTAGAGTCCAATGAAAGAGATGATTTCAGATGACGATTTTGAAAACTTTTGTTTGATTTTAAGGTAATCCAAAACAGAATACATAATATATAAAAGAAGCAAGGGTGTAAGACTTAAGGTGCGACCCAAACACAAATTCCAGCAGCCAATGCAATAGGAATGCTACAGCAAGCAGTGTTTCGAAACTAAATTCCATCATCTATTTGAAGGCATTCCTCTCGGACTTCACCATTGCACTATCCTATAGCTTTCCACCCATATCTCTATGTGGTGTCCGAACCGGGGATAGTGACAAGATGGTGTTTTCAAAATATATGGATAAACAAATCTCTTTGTTAAAAATCACTCTCTCAAGTCGATTCCCATATCATTCGAGTTGGCGTGTTCTTGATAGTTCATCTCTGAATCTATCACACTTTGACACTTTTGAAGAGCGACCAACCCATCGGGAGTTAAGTTTTGAAAAACATAAATGACAAGTCTCCTTGTCGGCAACTTTCTCAAGTCTACCTCTTATGTCATCCAAGTTGACGTGCTTATTGATGGCTTATCTCTAAGTCCATCGCACTTTAACACTTTCAAGTGATCAACCCGTCAAGAAGTGTGCTTGGTTTAATAAAAACTCGAATGAAACAATGAAACGTCGTTTACGAAACACTTAGCTACTTTCGTTTGGTTTGAAAATCTCACTTTTCCGTCTTACACCCAAGCTATAAAAGCTTAGCTACTCATAACGGAAAGTAAAAAAATAAATGACGGAAAATAAAGACATAAACGTAAATTGCGTAAAGTAAATAGCGAGAAAATAAATGACGGAAATGTAAATGACGAGAAAATAAATAACGGGAATGTAAATGACGAGAAAATAAAAGACGAGAATGTAAATGACGGAAAATAAAAGACGAGAATGTAAATGAAGAAAAAGATGAAGAACTTCAAGAGCTTAATTAAAACCACCATTGGAGAGGGTTTACAATACTAGCAAATGGAATGGATGAAAGTAGGAGTAATGGATGCTTTAGAAGGCACCCCAAGCTTTCTTTTTATACTCAAAATGGGTCACTAAAAGACAAAAAGACAAATCTTGGAGGCTAAGCTTCCTAAAACTAGTTACAAAGTACAATTAAAGGAACTAGAAAGTACATATTCCTAACAAGACTTTTAATCTCAGATTCCAGCAATTTCCAGCTGTCTTCCATGAATACAAAAAGGCAAYGTCTTAATCATTAAGCCCTCCAAAAAGTTGCGCATGTATCAGATCGATGYTGCTCCAATGTTGTAGCATCTGCTGGTTTCACAAAAACTCTCTATTAKCTTCATCCAARCATAYCAAYAAGTCAASCACAATATTTAGCTTCATAATAACAAATGTATAAAGAAATAAATAAAAATGACTCAAAGKGGGAATGAAAAGAAATTATTATAACTAGAAAGACGTAAAAAGAGTGCTTTATGTGTTAAATTCTCAACACATATCAACTATCAAGAGCTTTATCACACAACACACTTATCTGGATGTAGTTCTTACCATACAACAAATTCACTGGATAGCAAGATTAACAAGGATATTCGCATACAAATTCAACTTTCATCGGATACAAATCTCACCGGATAGCAAGCCTATCGATCAAAAAATACAAGTACAATTACAATATGAATTGAGCGACGAATTAACCTAGTCGGACAATACTATCAAATCACAAAATACTCAGATTCAATGTCCGATGAGTACTTCTTATCGCTTGATGAACAAATTCAATGAGCGATGAGCAAGAAATCTTACAAAGATATCCAGAAATCAATCAAATTCGCTCAAATTTGAGTCAAATTGAATGTAATATACACGATTTGCTCGAAATTCAATCACAAAAACCAATTCAGCAACTAATTCAAGTAGATATCGATCAAATTCACTCAAATTGCTAAGAAGATGAAGAACAGACTCAAGATACGAAAATCACAGAAATCCAAAATTGAATCAATGAATCGATTCAGTTATGAAAATTGTTTAACCAAAAAGTTTTCAATCTTGATTTCGCACACAATTCAATGTAATACAATGATCAAACAGCAAATATTCGATGAAATTAGTAGAAAGATGAAGAAGATGTTCAAGAACACTCAAGAACACTAAGAACAATCCAAATTTCCAGTCTAATTTTCCAGTTTCTCGGCAAATTCAATCTAAATTGCTGCAGTTTGCTCTGATACCTATTATAATTCCCAGATTCTTCAATCAGATTATCACTTTAGCAAAATAGAAAAGATGAATAGTTAGAGAAAATCTTAGACAAAAGTAATTGTATTAATCTTTCAAGAATGATTACAAATGAGAATCCTTACACTAATTACAATTAAGAAAACTATTTATACCTACAACTACTATGACAAAATTAACAAAGAAGAAACACTTGAATACAACAATAAAGCACAAGCTTAAATCCAACAAACTCTCTTTGTTCTGCATGTGAAATGGGAAAGATTACAAGAACTTCACATAAAGAAAAATCTGCTTCTTCTTGTAAATATCCTCTTAGGATGATTCACATGGATCTATGTGGACCAATGCATACTCAATCGCTAGGAGGCAAAAAGTACATCTTGGTGATGGTCGACGAGTATTCCAGATACACGTGGCTGGAGTTTCTAAGATCCAAGTCTAATGCTGGAGTTAATTATCGTATTTATCAAGCGTATTCAAGTTCTTCTATAACTTCCAGTTCAAAAGCTTCGAAGTGACAATGACACTGAGTTTACTAATGAGACCCTTCAAAGTTTTCTTCAAACTGTTGGAATTTCTCATAATTTTTCTACTGTTTGAACTCCGCAAAAAAATGGAGTTGTTGAAAGAATAAACCGGACTTTAGTCGAGGTTGCTCGTACTATGTTGTCTTACTTTGGTCTACCCCTGTATTTGTGGGCTGAAGCTGTATCTACCGCCTGCTTCACGCAAAATAGAACGATCATCATCAAACACTTTCATAAATCTGCTTATGAGTTGATAAATAATTAAAAGGCTAACGTTAAATTATTTCTTGTTTTTGGCTGCAGATGCTTTGTGCTTAATGATCGAGACAATCTCGGGAAATTCGATAAAAAGGCAAAAGAAGGCAACTTCATTGGTTATTTTTTAAAGTCTAAAGCCTTCCGAGTCTACATCAAACAATCAAAGATTGTCATTGAAAGCATCAATGCCAGATTGGATGAATCTTCGACTCTAAACAACTCAGTTCAGGTCTCAATCTACAACAGTTAGCTTATACACAAACTAGTGTAGAACCTATAACAAACAAGACATTGAATTCTGATTCTTTTGTTAAGTCAAATTTAGATTCATTGTTTAAAGACGCATTTGATATAACTTGGGATATTCTTGAAGATTATAAAATATTTGATCTACCCAAGATGAATGAACCAGTGGTCCCGATTCCACAAATTACTGAACTTTCTGGACCATCTGAAGCTGGTTGTTCAACATCAAATGTTGTTCAACATCAAATGTTGTTTAACCTGAATCTGTTGAAGCTACTAAATCCGAGTCTGTTCAAGCGGAGGCACAGACTCAACCAGAGATTGTTCAATCTGTTGATCAATCTGAGTCTTCTATACCTGCTGAGGAAGCTGAAAGTTCTGAGATTCAAGCTAAAGTAGAATCTGATATACGAGCTGAAATTAAAACTGAAATTCAAGTTGTAACTGATGAGTATGATGATC